CCCGGCAACACGCCAGAGACATTCCGAGGGTGCAGCTGCTGCAGCATATCATACCAGCTCTCTGCATCGACAATCCGGGGAAAGACGTCGACATCGATGCCCACTGCCTATCAACCGATTCGTATCAACAGAACGGTCCAGAACTCGGCCTTTGAGTTGATGGATCCCATGTACATGGAAGGGACTTGGGCAGACAACATACGATACTGCATCTCGATAGCACACAAGGCTGTGGCCCTCGGGACAACGGTACCCCTCGAGATACAGCTGACGCCGCTGAACAAGAAGTTACAAATCAAGCAGATCAAGTGCGAGCTCTTGGAGTCTCACAAGTTTGCCATTAATACTGCTCGTCCCCTGCAGCAATTCGATGGGGATCGTCAAGTTGCGGAATGGTTTGCGCTGGTGGAAAACCCGGAAGATTGCGCCCAGCCTGTGTATCGAGTGATACAAAACCTACCACTACCAACAGACCCGAAGAAGTGTTCCCCAGACATGGACACAGAGGGACTCGGTACAACACACACGCTGCATATAGCTGTTGACGTTGCTCAGCCCGACGACAACTTGTTAAAGGTTAGTATCTTGTGAGGAGACATAATTTAAGACTGAATGCTAATGAAACTGTAGTTCCGATACCACGCCACTCTGCCTATTGTGTTATTTGTTTCTCCAAAGATACCCATTGATGCGTTTGATAATTTTGTGTGGCCGAAGAGCCCGGAGGCGGCAGATTTGGTGGAGCCTGATGGCGGTTTGGACGTGCCTCCTGAGTATGGGAACCACTTTGACGATGAGATGCTGGAGAGAAGCGATAGCAGCAATCCACCGAGTGTCTCGTCGACTGCTTGTAGCTAGTATAAGCTATCAAATTGGATCATCATTTTGATGCACCAAAGCTTCATCAAAACCAAAGCGATATTGGATCTTGCTATGTAACGGTTGTCCGTGCATGCTCAAGCTGATTAAATGTTTTTTCATACGGATAGCTTGCTAGTAAGGGAAAGTTGAGATATGGTGTTCATCATCTCCAGGCGGCAAACTGCGGAAGAAAAGTTAGAAGGGAAGAAGGATGGTGTTCATCATATGGCCATTTTAAGCTAATTATTACAGAAGAAACTTTGCTTTCAATCATTCCCCCTCTAGTCCTGCTTTCGACCGAAGCTGGGCAAGAAAGACCACGTCACTAACAAGAACACCAAAGCTCCCAACACAATCGGTGATAATACTTGTACACCATATCGTTGAGCTTGCGCCCCTATCACAAACGGAAGAATCGCGGCACCGCTACCTCCTAGGCCGATGGCAAATCCAATAGCACTGACGTGTAAGTGCTTTGGCAGCAACCTTGTTACCGCTATCATGATGGCTGGAAACAGCGGCCCTAGAAAGAATCCCTGGAGCGAAACTGTGATGGCCGATATGAAGAACTGCGGGATCAGCCAAAAGAGAAGTTGTAGACATATGGCGGCTCCGAGATAAGCCTGTATGAAATAGGTCAGCATTCTCCCAGAAACCGAGACTACATAGTAGACAAACCATCACGGCAAATCTCTCTCCTACACGTGGAGTGACAAAACCTAGGGCTATGCGGCCTGCAGCTAGCCCAGCCCAAAACCCTGTTGCTGTCATGCCGCTGGCGAATTCCTCGCCGTGCCGGGCCTGCAACATAAAGGTGACGATCCATCCACCCAGCGATACTTCGAGCCCAACATATCCCAGTGCAAATATGGCACAAACCCATGTTGTTCTCGCATTGGGTAGCTTGAAAAGCGTTTCATGAACGATCGACTCTCTTGGTTCCGGGCCTTTGGGATTGGCCTCTCGGTAAGCTTTGCCGGTTGCAGACCAGAAAGTGGTCGATGTTGTGACGAGCTCTACCCCCGCTAAGCCAGCCTAGTTTTTGTGTCAGCTAATCTTGAGACATTGTGGGCGAACTGCAGAGACATACCATGAAGTAGTAAAACGCGTACCAAGGAAGGCCAGCCTTGACGACCATAGTGGTCGCAGTCACCGGTCCCAGAACGGCGCCGAGGCCGTAGCAAGCGTGCATGGAATTGATAACCACATTGGAGTCTGCCAGGTTGCTGGCTACCCATGAGTTCCAGGCAGCATCGCCAATGCCATTGCCCAGTCCGGCAAGCATGTATATGAACACCAGGGCTGGATATGGCAGGTGAAGTGATATGGCGACGTATGCTGCAAGGTGACATCCAGAGCCAATGATGGCTATTCCTCTTTGCCCGACAGTCTCGTGGAGGCTGGTGTTCAGGGCCGCTGACAGCGTATGGCCGATAAATGGCGCGAGGAAGATCAGCGACGTAAACGAAAAGGGCAATTCATAGTATTTACCAAGCTGAGGTCCTTTTGTTAGCATCTTCCCCCATCCACCAACCAACACATAGGAGGTCCTGTATCAACTGACATGGGGAATGATAGCCTGGATAGTTCATGTAAGTACCATATCAGAATGCCTCGCAAGTTTATTTCAGAAAGCAAGTACTCACTCCGTACGACGCGTCATTTGCACCCATGACCATCAAACTCCAGAAGATGGACAGTATCCGTGCGATATTTGAACGAGGGCAGTTCCATTTCTGGAAAACTTCAACAGCATCCTCTGGAGGTGGGAAATGAGGAGATCCGCCAATGGTATATGGGCTCACTGAACTCAAGCCTCTCTGAACTTCTCTTAATGGCGAGATCGCGACATCTTCGTCGCTAAGCTTTGTTATTGCATGCAATCCAGCACCAGATGGCAACGCTGGAAGCTGTTGCAACTCAATGGTTTGTGCGCTGCTTGGACCCATCTTTCGCTTTCAAGTGCTGGAGCAGGGGGTTGCAACGAGGAGAAATCTGACGGGTTCCAACACATACAAACCGCAAACCATCAATTACCCAGAGACGACCAACCGATAATAACGGCTGAACGCCGGTTAGCAGCTGGAAAACATTTGCGTCCGAACGAGCGCAAGCTGGGAATCCGGTAGAGGCTCCGTCAGTTTGGCCCGACTTTTAGGTAATGGTCAGCGTCGGGCTTCCTAATGTGGTAATAGCGACAACTTGCTGCAAGGGTGGCATGGTGACAGGGAACTCGGCATCGTTTCCCGCTTCGAGCCCACCGGTTCAAATTTCATGTTATTCTGGAACTTTTCCCGGCTGACAAACATGAGCTGATTAAGCTCAATGTTGGAGGGGAAGTTTTGATCAAAGCTGCAAACATGCCTTCGCCGAGTGACTCAGTGAAGGACCCCTATTCCCGGACTAAGCCTTGCTGGCAGCGTTGGACCCGGTCCGGCGGGACGGCGATGTGGAACTCAGCGGTAGGCTCCCCGAATAACGAGACACCGCGGGGGTCTGCGAGGCGTGACGGGATGTGACGGGATGTTCTAGTCAGTCTTGATCCGATTGAAGAAGACGTTTTTCGTTTTCCTCTAAGAATTAAGCGTGCATTAGCCCGCGGTTGGAACATATACTGGATTGGGACAAGTGAGTTGGACCTTCTCCCGGAATACATATTCCTTGGGGGCTGGGACTGGGCCCGCTGCACTACTCAGCCGCAAGCTGTTGCAGAGGCCAAACCGCAGAGTTCACCTCCTCTAGCTCAGCATCTTTTGATACCTTAGATGCCCAGACCGCCAACGTCAGTAGATGCACTGACTTGTCAGCTGGCCCCGTCAGCTGAAAATAACATTTGTGTTTTGGTTAATGACCCCATCTTATTGAGGAATTGGTTCATTCTCAATGGGAACAAAGCCATGATGTCTTGTGCGGGCTACTATGCAATGTTATCCGTTGACTCCTAAAAATTCTCTTGAGCGATCGGAAGTCGCTTTTCAAACATCCCATCCGCCTGCAGACAGTCTTCACTTTCTCAACTGTGGCCACGAAAGCAGCTTCAATATTCTGGGTGTCATTCAGCCAACATCATGGATAACAAGACCGTTAAAGACACAATACCTCTCCGCATCATCACTCTTAACGTCAGATACGCTGTCAAGAGAACGCTTCTCCCTGATGAGGAGCCCTGGGATGTGCGCTGTCCAAGGCTGGCGGCCCAGCTGAGAATCCATACTTTTGGGCAGGCGAACACTTTCGTTTGCATCCAAGAAGCTCAGTACCAGCAACTCCTCGATCTGCACTGTGAGCTAGGTTCGCGATGGAGTTACATCGGCCGCGGACGAGCCGACGGGGAAGTTGACGGAGAGTTCTCACCCATATTCTATCGAACTGACCACTGGGATTTGGAAAAGACTCAGACGTATTGGCTCAGCCCTACTCCAGAGGTTCCCTCCAGCGCCTGGGGCGCAACCATAAACCGTATAGTCACCATCGGACTTTTCCGCCACAAGGTCGCTTCTACAAAGGTTGTCGTGACGAGCACCCACCTCGACCATCGCAGCGCCGAGGCACGCTCAGAAAGCGCAAAGTTACTCCTCAGACTTGCGAGACAATGGCAGACCGAGGCTTCCACCTATGAACAAACTGCCGTTCCTGTGTTCCTCGGAGGAGACTTCAACAGCGGGCCAGCCGAAGAGCCACACAGACTGTTGACGGCGGAACCTGATGGCATGTCAGATTTGAAGAACCTCGTCCCCAAGTCCCATCGCTATGGGAATAATATTACGTATACCACTTTTGGGGAGGCAGAGCCCACGACCATTGACCACCTGTTCGTTTTGAATCCAGCAGGGATTGAGTTTCACAACTTTGGTGTGCTGTCCAATCGTTTTGACGATATGGTCTACTACTCGGATCATCGACCAGTACTGGCGGATATGGAGATTCCCGTCTTTCAAAAGATTTGAGGCTGGGCTTTTGAATGAGATATATCTTTGTACAGTTACACATAAGGAAGGCATGGACAGGGGAGTCGAAGAGAGATAGTCACAATGTGGCCGTAGAGTGTGTTGTTTTGCTTCAATTCACATATCTGGTGCGAACCTAACAAGAAGTCTACTTAGCGTCAAGATAGCTAAGACATTGTATGCCTTCTTCAACTACTTCAGCATTGACTTAAGCCAACCACGTGCACCCTGGTCGAAACCACTTGCTTCAACGGCTTTCGGTGACCCCTCAATAATCTCCGTCTCAAGTGTAACCACGCCCATCTTCCTAGCTTCTTCCTCAGTAAATGTCCCATAGTAGTCCATTTCATCAATTACACCAGCCTCTGGAGGTGGCCAGACAGTGTTGATAGCAAGGTGCAGTAAGAACGATATGGCGAAACCAAGAGGGAAGGCGAGATAGTAAAGATTGATCCAAGCATCGGCCACATGGACGCTGTTGGGAGTGACACTGGCTGCGAAGCCAGGCAGCTGAGTCGCGAAACCACACACCCAGGCGACGAAGGTGCGTGGGTTGATGCCTTTCCAATAGTAGAAGGATCCATCTGACCTAGGATGATAGAGGTCCGACAGCTTGATCTTGCGCCGGCGGATGATGAAGTAGTCGCAGATCTGAATGCCAATCACAGGTCCGAGAAAAACACTGTAAGCGGAGAGCACCGAAATGAAGACGGACGCAGAGGACAAAAGCTCCCAGGGGCACAACGCGATGCTGAGCACCAGGCCAATGTAAGCGCCGCGCCGGATATTGATGTAGCGACAGAACAAGCCAGCAAGGTCCATGCCAGCTGAGAACGCATTATCGACAGAGTTGATGCTCAGCTGGATGCACAAGAGACCGAGGCCAGCGAAAAAAGCCCCAGCTCGGCTTTTGGCGTTGTAGTTGTTATCAAGCCATGCTTGGACAATCAGGGGCGGATTCCAGATTGGCTCGCCGTAGATGACCCCAGTTGCGGAGGCAGCGAGGCATCCGAATGTCGGGAAGATGGCCCCGAAGAAGATAATACTGAACCACTGCCCGAAGATCTGATCGCCTGGGCGACGGGCGAAACGGCAGTAGTCAGGCTGGTTCGTCAAGCCCACGGCAATACTCCCGATGACGGTTGTGATTCCGTGGACGATTTGCCATCCAAGCTCGCTGGAGGTCATTGACTTCGAGCCTTGTCGTACCAATGATCCTGCTTCACCCGCAGTTGCTAGGGCCCAGATCATGATTGACACCAGAGTCACCGACGAGATGATGTTGAACGCCAGAAGCACCTTCTGGATACGCTCAGGTCGAATGTATAGAATTGGGATAAGCAGGACATTGAAGATGATCCACCCAATAAAATCCTTGGTTGTGAGGTGGGAGTTTTCTGGGAATACGTTGCCTAGGGATTCGAAGGAAGGGAAAATTGCCGACAGGCTGAATAGTCAAGTTAGCGAAGGTTTTCACTTTGAAAATGGTAATACCTACCAGTTGACCACGGTCAAACCACCAGTCCATGACTGGACGGCGAACCATACCAGACTCAGGATAATTCTTTGAATAAGAATGAGGTATTGTCCATAGACGCCCCAGATGTAACGCGACACAACCGGAAACCCGATGTGCCATTCTGCGCCTACGCATCCGTTTGCAATGGCCACAACAGCGATGATGATTTTACCAATGATGATAGCGATGACACTTTGCCAGACGGAAAGACCAGCAGCAACGAGAGATGCACCAAGTTGCCAATTGGAAACTACAACAGATCAGTCAGCTGTCAACACACAGCGGTAGCCAGGGAACACTAACTGGCAACTTGGTTGGTCAGCCAGAAAGAGATAAATGTTGAAGTTGTCCATCTCCTACGATCCGGAGGCATTGGCCGAATATCCTCATTGATCCAGATGTTGGACTCGGCCACATCTGTGTCGGGCAGCCGCAGCCATCGGAAAACACCGTTGAGGCCCATTTTGCAATTCGCAGTCCCGACAGGTTGGGTCGTTCGGAAGGAATTCGGAGGACATGCGCCCAGTTTAATGGAACTGCTTCACCAAGAGATCACAAGCATCCACCCGCACACTTCGGACGGTATTCTACCATGACCGCACGCTATCGCTCCAGGGGACGTTGCATTCGCGCCCAGCTGATGCCGGGCCACTGCCATCATGCCTCCACAGATAAAGCTCGCATCGCGCGCGCAGGCCCTGATAACGGATGAATCACGGATGAATTGGCTCTTATCATTGGGGTCACGACTCCAACTCTAAAGCTTCAGACCAAACGTATTGTGCGATTGTTATCATAGTTTACCGCCGTCTGTGGGGTCACCGGTGATAAGAGCAACTTCAGGCAATTGTCGAATACCAGGATCCCAGGATAACCCAGTCTACCCCGCATGGCTCCCCTCGGCATCTGACAGCCGGGATGATTAGCTGTATGCCTTTGGAGAACCATCGCGCTTGTACCTGCCTGAGTATCCCTCAGTATCTCTTCTCTTATGATTGATGTTGCAAGCCTACGCAGACAATGACCTAGTAACCCAGGCTAACGGTTCTGTTCCCAATTCCATTTACCCGCTTATCCGCTTTGGCAGACCCGCGCGGCCGGTTGGATGATCTCCGACGACACGACATCTTGTAAACAAGTCACGTAATTACATCTTCGGGGTAATTCTTCTGCGAGATCGTCGTTTCAAACCGCATGGGTTTAAATGAGAAACCAAGCTCTCTAATCACCGTAACAGAAGGCTGTACGACCATCGATCTCTGAAGTAGACCACCATCATGGGAGAAATGCCCCCCTCTCGCAGAACTGTACGCATCGGCGTCGATGTTGGCGGTAAGCTATCCTTTTGTGAACTGCGCAACAAATGAATAATGTTAGCTGATGCATGAGAGTAGGCACAAACACCGATGCTGTCGCAATAGACTTGAGTCTTCAACACACCGAAAGCCGTGGCGTTCTAGCCCACTTCAAAACCCCAACAACCCCTGACGCAACCTCCGGTATCGAGACCGCAGTGCGCACCGTTCTCGCTGCAGCCGATCTCACGAACTCCCCGGAGCGCATAGCCAGCGTCACAATTGGAACTACGCATTTCATCAACGCTGTCATTGAGCGCGATGTCCGGCGTCTCCAGAAAGTGGGCGTCCTCCGACTGAGCAAGTCTTTCCTTCGTGAGGTTCCAGCCTTTGCCGAGTTCCCGCCAGATCTGACAGCCGTGCTCAAGTCGTATGTCGGCATTGTCGATGGAGGTCTTCACATCGACGGCTCCCAGGAAGCACCGGTCATCGAAGCTCAGGTTGTCGCCGAGTGCGCCAAGATCCGCGAGAGCGGTGTTGGGGCCGTCGTCATTTCGGGCGTCTATTCGCCCATTGACGAGGTCTTCGGTCAGGAGGAGAAGGTCCGCGATATCATCCTCCGCGAGGTTCCCGGGATCGATGTGGTGTGCAGCAAAGAGGCCAGCGCTAGCATCGGCTTTATCGAGCGGGAGAACGCAGCTATCTTGAACGGCGCCATTCTGCGATACGCAAGAAAAACGGTTAGCCGGTTCCGCTTGGCTATCAAGAGACTCAACCTGACGTGTCCCTTATTCCTCACCCAAAACGACGGCACTATCTTGGACGCTGCATCAGCGGCAAAGATTCCTATCCGCACATTTTCGAGTGGGCCGACCAACTCAATGCGAGGCGCGGCGTACCTTGCCGGCTTGGATTCTGGCGGTGATAGTTCCGCGATCGTTGTAGATATCGGTGGCACGACGTCGGATGTCGGCGTCTTACTTCCTTCAGGCATGCCGAGACAAGCTTCCGCGTACGTTACTGTTGCCGGCGTCCGAGTCAACTATTCCATGCCGCATCTTCACTCAATCGGTCTTGGTGGCGGCTCCATTGTCAGAACTGTGGATGGCAAGGTGAAAGTCGGTCCAGAGTCTGTGGGACTTGAGCTTTTGAGTCGTGCACTTGTGTTTGGAGGCGACGTCTGCACCACAACGGACGTGGCAGTAGCCGCAGGCAAGGCAGTCGTTGGTGCGACTGAGAAGGTGAAGAGTTTGGAGGTCGACTTCGTCGAAGAGGCAATATCTCGGATCAAAGCTCTTCTTGAAGGGGCTGTAGACGTCATCAAGACGTCGCCGGATTCCGTCCCCGTACTTCTCGTTGGTGGCGGCGCCATACTATCGCCGAACAGTCTCAAGGGAGCGTCGAAGTTGATTCGGCCACCATTCCACGACGTTGCCAATGCCGTTGGTGCCGCCATTGCCAGAGTCTGCGGTGCGGTTGACATTGTGCAGGGCACCACGCACCAGACAGAAGGCCAGGCTATTGACAACGCCAAGAGGATAGCGATCGAGCGGGCTATTGCTGCTGGAGCTATCCCTGAAAGCATCAAAATTGCCGAGATCGAGACAATGCCGTTGCAATATGTGGCCAACCAAGTCCGAACTTTGGTGAAAGCAGTTGGGGATATCGATCTACATGCGAAGCTGGACGATGCTGGTGAACTAGGGGACGACGATTTTGGGCAAGAGCAAACGGAGGCAAGCAAAGACTTGACCCGCGCTACAAAGGAAGAGGAGAACGTCGATCCTGCTTCGTACAAGCCCGACATCAAAGTCAACAAGGACGGAATTGCGGAGTGGATCATCAGCGAAACGGACTTGGACTACCTTGCCGACGGTTGCTACGTTCTTGGCTGTGCTGGAGGTGGAAGTCCAGCAGCCTCTAAGATACAACTACGGAACATGCTTCGAGACGGACACACAATGCGCGTCATTGAGTCTTCTTCACTGAAAGAGAGGGACCTTATTTACTGGGGTGGTAAGTTGACTCCAACGTTAGCCAATACCTAGGTACTGACCGATGCTAACTGCGATGAAAGGCCATATGGGATCTCCTGCTGTTTCCATTGAACGACTACAGTCAATCGAAACAGTAGACGCGTTTCGAGCATTGATGGAGTACATGCGCCATGACAAGTTTGATGCAGTGATGGGTCTCGAGATTGGTGGTGCCAATGGCCTCGAACCTTTCCTTGTAGGTTCCTCGAGGTTCTTTGACAGCCCCATCATTGACGGAGACTGGATGGGGCGAGCCTACCCGACCTACTGGCAAACGACCTTGGCAGTACATGCACCTTTGGAATTAGTTCCGTGCGCGATTGACTCAGGCGACGGCAAGACAATCATCATGACGAGGGCACCCAACGATGAGATTGTCGATCGTGCTCTCCGTGCATCCTGCTCCGAGATGGGCTCTCGAGTAGGAATGGCTGCGAAGCCGACCACGTCTGATAAAGTCAAGAAGTTCGGCGTTCTCAATACTGTGTCTCTCGCTTGGCGCATCGGAAGATGCATAGCCCTATGCCAAGCAACAAATACAATGAGCACGGTTGCCGAATCTATCATCAAGGAAGCTGGCGGCTCTGAAGCAGCCAAGGTATTGTTTAGGGGCAAGATCATGCGTGTTGAGCGTCGTCTCTTCAAGGGCCACTCTTACGGCGAAGTTCACATTGCTGCTTTCGAAAGCGGCGACGAGGATGAGGCAGGGAGTGTCAAAGATCGAGCTGCTGCCGTAGCTCAAGGTGGAATGCTTAAGGTTCCTTTCAAGAACGAAAACATCCTGGCTGAGCATACAAGCGAGGATGGGAAGACGAGCATATTGGCGGCCGTTCCGGACTTGATTTCCATCTTGGACAACGAGTCAGGAAAAGCCCTTGGAGTTCCCGAATTCAAGTACGGGTATCGAGTCACGGTTATCGGTATCACTTGTTCGCCAAGATGGACAGAGACTCAGGCCGGTTTAGACATTGGTGGACCAAAGGCATTTGGATATGATCTGGATTACAAGCCCCTTGGTAAGTATGTCGAACCACGCAGTGTTATACAAGAGTATACTACGTAGATGTCACGTCGTCTTTCACAAGATTATGTTCAAAGCGCTTTGCCAACCGTCCCAATGAATGTTGCGAAGCCTCCGTCGACGGTTGGAATGACCTCAAGGACACCATCTTTAGCGTTCCATGTGGCTGTATGTGATGTCTGATCCGTGCTCCTGTCTTGGTCTATCGCTGCAGAGACTCCCAAGACATTCATAAATCCCCCGTAGTACTGTATTCTGTTCAGCTGCTTCGCAACTTCAGCAACCACCCGACCGCTGAATGAAATCCTCAAGACCAGGTTATTAATCACAACGAGCCTGTGAGGCTGTGCGATCTTGGTTGCGTCGGTGGAAAGACCCGCTTTCATCCGAGGATACGATGAACCAAGGTTGTCCAAGTTCCTGTTTGAGATGATTCAGAACTTGTCCTCTCAGGAGAAGGCGCGCCAACGAGAACCTACCATGCGCCTGGGGCAACTTTAACAATTCTCAAGTTGTCAAAAGATATCGTAATATCCACATCGCTGTCCTGCATGACGGCCTTGAAAGGCAACTCGTGTCCGTCAACATAGAATGAGAGCCATGGTGGATAGGTGAATTTGAAACTGTCGCCCAGCTGTTCATGCCCGAACCCACCCTCGTCGGCTATCTCTCCTTCTGCGTAACGGACGTATAATCTGTCGCCCGGTTCATCGCGACGGCCCGCGCCGATCCAATCCCTGACCACATTCTCGTAGTCGGGGCAATAGAACGCTGGAACGCAAGCCACAACTTTTGACGGACTTGCCTTCTTACGCAATTTGATTTTGTTGAGCAGTTTCTGAGATTTCTCGCCTGATCTGAGGGTAAAGTCCATGTCAATCGGCATTGCCATCCTTTATTCTGTCAGCTCCCCAGGTTTAGGGCTTGCATTGTGAATATCCGACTTTGGCTCACCCCGGTAGCTCTTGCTCTGACATCATTGCGTACAGGAGCTTTCTCAAGTCTTGATTCCACTTCTGCGCTCTCGGTCCGATAAGCACGCTTCCTGCAGCTAGAAGAGCATCAGATGCAACCTCGACATCTCGAATAGAGTTGCAAAACGCCGGCGCATTAGTCTGGTGCCATTGCGAAAAGGTCGAATCACCAGTCATGCCCACATCCGAGTGCTTTTTGAATGTCCGGCGAGCCTTATCAGCGGATTTCTCGTAGATTTCAAGGCTATCTTCGAGCTCCCTAATACAACTCTCGATGCTGATGTGAACATCACCCCTGGCACCCTGCAGATGTGTATGTCAGTTGAAGCGCGCACTAAGCAGCGGATTGGCAGACCTCGCTTACGGCATCAACTGATTGGAGAAAGCTATAACAAGGTGATCAGCTGAGCAATTTCACCTATTCTCAGTGTCAAGCGACTCACGTTCTGAGAGACTTAACATAAGAATCTCGAGAATCAGGGTGATAGAAAAGGTCTCCTGTTCGCAGATGATTATTCGCAGCTTCATAGATACCGGCATTGGTGTATTCCAGAGGTATCCGTGGCGAAGCAAAGGGTCCTTTCTGGGCCTTGCTGGAGAGGTATAGGGCAATACCATGTGTTGGCTCAAACTGGATGGCCTCCTTGACTGCGTTGGCATAGGCCAGCCAGAGGTTTCTGTCGGCGGCGGAGTGTGGCATCACGACATGGATGATGGGCCTTTCAGGTGTTCATTGGCAGGAAGACAAGGAAGATTGACCATAAATGTTTGAATATCAAGGGAGACCAAGGCAACAATGATGCCATCCCTCGGGCCCCCGGCGTCTCAGCTACTTTGGTTTAGTCAAGGCCAGGGGCGTGCTGGCACTAACTTGTCCTAGTGGAAAGCCACCGGACTTGAGACAGTAGATCTTCCGCTGATTCGGTAATTGAACGTCAGAATTAGAATAGCGTGGATTGAGCATCTCCCGTGACTTGTGCGAGAACGGTTCGTAGAAAGGCGAGGCCCATTTAGGGTCGGCCGGAATGAGCCACGACGCGTGCCAGAAGACCTGCCAGCTGCGTCCGGTACTTAGGTGAGGCTGGTGAGTGAACGCTTTCCACGCGTCATAATTGTCTAAAAGAATTAGAGTGGCATTATGAGAAAGAAACACATGGCGAAGACCTCTTACTGATAGCAACTGTGTTTCGACGTGTGCTCTCAATAATGGGTGGCTCTGAGAGAGTGGAAGCTAACAAGGTTCAGGGCTCGACTCCTCATGCAGCAAGAAAAAAGGACTCAGTAGCTGCAATGTCGCTTAGTTAGATAGATAAGCCCCGAAGGCTGCTGATGATAAGGCTTGCATGAACCCAACTTTACCCCTCCAAAGTCTGGTATTTTGGCCGTTCAGTCTTGGTCTTCAATTGGCAGTCGCATCATCAGCTTTCCGCAGCAATAGGTCAAGACCATGACTAGCGCAGTTGAAGCAAGCATATCGCAAAAACGCCTACGCAACGGCTGCCTGACGTGTCGCGATCGGTGGGTCTCAGTGTTCATTCCCCGCGTCGACGACTTGGCCAACATGAGTGAACAGCAAGAAGAAATGCGATCAGATCTATCCCATCTGCGGCGCATGTAGCCGCCTGAATTTCATCTGCCGCAGAGAGGATCTAAAACAGCCGCGAAAACGCGGTCGCCCACGAAAGTCGGTCCCTCAAGACCCCTCCGCCGAACCACGTGGCCCGTCTGCTTCTTTGACTACCAAGACTCCGGACATCTCAGCCTTTTGGCTGCAACATGGAGGCGCCCAGATTCCGGAAGATTTCGCGGCTCAAAGAAGGGTGGTGCTGCGATATTACACCCAAACCCTCGCTGCATTGATCACTACAAACCTGGAAAACAACTGCTTCATATCGGTCTTCCTGCCACTTGCCATGGACTCGCCAGCCTTCCTCGACACTATCATAGCTTGGTCATCGACACATCTGGCCCAGTTGGAAACTTCTTACGAAAGGCTAGCTCTGCAATGCCGGGGAAGGGCGTTGCGATCACTGTCAACCTTGATCGCATCCGCTAAGCGAGAGCCGGAGATTGAGATGGCCTGTTGTCTGGTACAGTGTGCCCTGGAAAGCATATCTGGCGACACCAGGCAATGGTTTACACATCTCAGCGGCGCGAATGAAGTGATGCGGTCTGTTTGCGACAATGGAGATGCAACATGGGATACCACTTCGTTTTCCTCCTTCGAGGGCCAATGGCTTCTGCGCAGTTTCGCTTACCACGATATCATGGCGGCTGTGGCCGCAGATACTCGGCCTCTCCTGGTGGCAGGGCATTATTGGTTATTTGGAGAGAGGGAGCCCCCAGACAGCTTATTCGGAGTTGGGTCTCGGCTACTGTTCCTGATCTCGGAGACAAGCGTGCTCAATGCCGATATGATGCTATCGCACCTTCAGGAGGACTTCGTCCAGACTGCTTTTCGGGAGAGGGCGCTGAGGCTGGAAGAAGAGTTGCTGTGTTGGGAATGCGACACCGCTGACCAGTCTGAGGGTTTAGTCGACCTTGCCGAGATGTACCGTAATGCCGCCTTACTTCATCTTCATCGAGTAGTGCGTCGTAACTTTCCAGGCAGCACTGAGTTGCAGACCAAGGCCCCCTCGCTGGCTCATGGTATCATTGAAAGACTACGCAAGATTCCCCACAAGAGCCTTGTTGAGAGCTCGTTGCTCTTTCCGCTTTTCATCTGCGGTGGAGAGATCAGCCACCCGGACGACATCGAGGCGATAAGAACGAAGATGAAGTCAATCGTGGTATCCCGGCATCTTTACAACTACGACTGCGCGCTGAGAGTTCTTGAGGAGCTTTGGCAACTTCGATTATCAAATAAGGAGGTCGATTGGCGCGATGTTTTGGATAGGAGGCAGTGGAAGCTTTCCATCGTTTGATATCACATCTCTCACCGACGGCTATCGATAGAGAGACCTTCATTTTGGCAGCAATTGTTGCAACAGTACCTCAAATAACCACATGTTCGAGACCTTTCTATCCAGACGCTTACTTAACTAAATACTTTGTCCAGCGCCCGCGTAAACGCCGTTTTTGAAGGCGTGGGTACAAAGTTCTCCGTGTAAACATCAATCTCCCATACGCCGGTCGTAAGGTCGACCTCGGTGGGCTTCAGCCACTTCGTCTTCTTCAATACCTTCCAGAAAGCAAACACCACCGGAAATACGCCTACCATCATGTATTGAAAGAGGAAATCAGGGACAGTGAAGTTGTCGTCGATGAAGATGCTGTATCCAGCGATTAGGACCATGACAGAACAGCAAGTGAACGCAAACCAAGTCGTGTAGGGTTGGAACGGTGCTTTATAAGGCAGTGAGTCTCTGGAAATTCCTTGGGCGCTGCATGCTTTCATGAAACGTGTGAAGGTGAAGGCGATGACGCAGAAGTTGATCAGCTGGGAGGCTGTGACCAAAGAGACGAACCAATTGAGAACCACCGCTGTCGAGTTGGAAACCTGCAGAAAGGAGAGACCGCCGAAACACATGACAACCGCAACGGAGTAGTAAGGCACGCCGGCTTTGTTGCACTTGGCTAGGAAGCGAGGGGCCTTGCCTTCAAGAGCCATGCCGTACAGGGTTCTTGTTGCGCAGTATGTTGTGCTATTGCCAGCACTGAAGGCGGATGTCAAGATCAAGGCATTGACAATGTGAGGCAGGATAGGAATGCCTAGGATATCCATCGACCGCACATATGGTGATCCAGCGGCGCCTCCCTTGCTGCTCGAGTACGCCTCTTTCAGCTTTGGGTCATCAGACGGCACGACGATTCCAACAGCAAGAGATCCGAGAACGAAGAAAGTTGTCAGCCGCCAGAATATCGACCTATACGCCTTCGGAAGGACCTTTCTTGGGTTCTCGGCCTCACCTGCGGTCATTGAGACGTACTCAGGACCAGCGATGACGAAAGCTGCTTGGATGAGGCAGTACATGAACCCAAGAAAGCGGCCGAGAGAGCCCTCCCGATAGAGTTCCTGGAATGCACCAGGGTCATACCAGTAGCGAAATCCGAACGTATCATGCCTTGGGTTACCGCCAACCATGACGACAAAGGTGTAGGAGATTAGGCCAACAATAAGAATGACCTTTCCGAGGGAAAGCCAGAACTCTGCTTCGCCGAAGAACTTGACCGCGACAAAATTCAGAATAGCGTATAGCACGAGAAAAACGAGGCAGACGGCCCAAACAGGTATGGCCTCCGTCCAGTATCGTATCACGACATTGCATACGGTGATCTCAAATGGCACTATGACAGGATGTTAGCAGCAGTCAGGGGGCTGATCATAGGGCTTTGCTCACACAGCGACGCTTGGAAAAGGAAGAAATTGTAACCCGCTGCAACACCGAAAGACTCGTCGACGAATCGGCCGGCAAAGCGGATGAAAGGCGAAGAGACTGGGAGATACGTCGCCATTTCTGACATGCAGAGGGAAATAGAAAGCACAACGGGACACCTGTATCCATTAGCCCGAGTTTACAGATAAGTCGTGAATGATACGCTCGTACCATAAGCAGTACGCTATGAACAGGCTTGCTGGACCTCCGCTCAGCAAGCCCTTTCCAATGTTGACGAATAGTCTGAGATCATCAGCCATGTTAGAAAGAACTTTATTTTCTTCTGCCAAGTTAAATTCCTGGGTACTTACGCAGTACCGATCGTGCCGGCAATCCCAATCAACTGGATATGGCGGGGCTTCAGTCTTCGGTGGGTGTGGTCGGATGCGTCCACATGGCCACTCTGAATATCGCCGTCTTCGAAGTCAACCCTCGGGCCTGCCTTGTCCGTGGCTCCTTTTTGTTCAAGAGAACCCTCATGCGGTATACGTAGTGAGTCAGACATATCAACGGACGTCATTCAGTCTTGACCAACGACCAAACCTGAGTTGCTTTACGAGCCAAGACACCAAGACGTTATTGATCGCCTGGGTCAAAGCAGAAGACCAAAAGAAAGAAGGAGGGAAGTGTTCATCTACACATGGTTCATGAAGGTGGCGGAATTCACGTCTCATAAGGACATTCGAATAAGTAATTTAAGTGTTGTACGATACGGCGTAGTGTGGTTCTAGGTCTTATCTCTCGGTTAAGTTGAGGCCGAAGCCCCTTCCTTGCAGTGCAGATAAGTTTGCTCCGCTCTATCGGAGATGTTTCCTGAACGTTACCAACATTGCTCCTTTGAATCGAGTAGCCGTGTCTGCCTCTCGTCCTCTGAACCTAAGCTTTCGGTCATCAACCCCGCCTATCCAAAAGCGGTCAAAGCAGTCACCGTATAGCGGTGAAGACCTTTCCCTAGTCTACACGGGCTGCAGAATTGAGGGCATTCCCGCCTGCGTTTAGCCGGGCGGCTCTGGCGGGCATTTTCTGATTGGCTGATGCGATAAAAGAACAGCTGGGGTCGTATCTCGCACGATAAAGCATGTCATCGGCGACAAGGCTCCCCTTGCCAGCAGGTGCCCGACACTAAAAGCTTACCCCAGATCTAGAGCGGTTCCGGCGCGCATTTCTTGCTTGGCTGTTGTCGGGGGGGGTAAAGATTGCCGGTGGCAGAAGCAACTTTCCATCTACATTATGACTTCGTTGTTGATAGAGCCTTACGGCATTTCTGTTCATTCACCGACATCGCTCTGCCTTTCAGACGATAAATTTGGTTGGCATCGAGGTCATCATACTCCATCTATTCTCCTTAAAACTTACCAACTCTGGCCACATACTCAGGCCGAAGGCCTTGACTTGCAACAGAACGGCATTCATGAACTATGTTCTCTTCCACAATGGCTCTAAACGACTTTTTCCAAACTTCAAGCATCTTCCACCGCTCCTTCTCTCAAAAGCCTCTGCGCATAGTCTCAGCTTCGGGAACGACTATGACCCTCGATGACGGGCGAACCATTATCGACGCCACAGGAGGGCCTGGCGTAGCTTGTCTTGGGCATAATGTACCTGAGGTAGCTGAAGCAGTTACCAAACAACTCCGCAAAATAGGCTACCTGTTCTCAGGTGGCGGGTTTTGTGAAGATACGACGGAAGAGCTGGCCTCGTACATTCTTAAAGGCAATCCTGGTGGTCTCAGCAAAGCAATTTTCCTAGGCTCAGGCAGTGAAGCGACCGAGGCTATGCTGAAGCTGGTTACTCAGTATTGGGCTGCAAAGGGAGAACAGCAACGTATCAACTTCATCGCACGGAAGCAGAGCTACCACGGCAATACCCTCGGTGCTCTATGCATCACAGGACACGAGGGCCGCCGTGACATCTATCGGCACTGGATGTCTGAAAATGTGTCGTTCGTGGATGCCTGCTGCTCCTATCGCGGCAAGCTCAATGACGAGTCTGACGAAGCATATCTCGAGCGACTGGTAAACCAGCTTGAGGCTGAATTCCAGCGTCTTGGGCCTGACACGGTCGCAGCTTTTGTCGCTGAAACCGTTGCAGGATCAACACTTGCTTCCGTTCCTGCAGTCAAGGGCTACTTCAAGGCTGTACGAGAGATATGCGACCGGTATGGGGCATTGCTGGTCCTTGACGAAGTTCTATGTGGGATGGGTAGAACAGGCACTCTCCACGCCTGGCAGCAAGAGGAAATCAGCGGGCCTGACCTGCAAATGATCGGGAAGTCACTTGGAGGCGGGTTCATCCCGGTATCTGGAGTCTTAGTTCACCAACGCATCTTCGACGCGATTGCAACGCCACAAGGCGCGCTGGCGGGCGGACACACATTCCAGGCACATCCGACATCATGTGCGGCCGCGCTCGCAGTTCAGAAGATCATCAGGGAGCAAGACCTTCTGTCAAATGTGAGAAAGCAGGGCGAGCTTCTTGGCAGGCTGCTGCACGAAGAGCTCGGCCAACACCCACTGACAGGCAACATCCGCGGTCGTGGGCTCTTGTGGGCTGTTGAGTTCATGCGCGATCCGGCGACGCGCACACCTTTCCCGATGGGCGACGACTTTTCACATCGAGTGGTGGATGAAGCGGTCGAGAACCAGGGCGTTCTTGTGCTGAAGAACATGGGGTTCCCCGGAACTTGGAAGATGGATTCAGTTGTGGTATCGCCACCTTTCATTGTCACCGAGCAAGAGATCCGAGAATCTGTGACGAGGCTGAGACGAGCAGTTGATGTGATTGCTAAGGAATATCTAGATGCTGATGGTAAGCTGGTTCTCCCAAGCTGGTGACTTCAGAGGCGCGAGCAAGAGAAAGGAAGATTCAGATAGGCAGATAAGAGCCTGATTGCTTTTACAAAAAGACCTGCAACACTTGGCCGTGTTATAGAAGCATATTTAAGAGGAGTTCGGAATGGAATTTAATCAAGCATTTTTGTTGACTCTGCCTTCTACAGAAACATCGCCAACTCTGATTTGTAATTGCTGCACATCATGCGTGGTTGCATGTGTTAGTTCTTTGAGCGTTTCGCAGTTTCAATCACTGCTTCTCCTGAGATTCGTCCGTAGTATGGTCCTCAATATGCTGGTTGGTGCTCTTGAGTGTGTTCTCGGCGGTGGCAATACCAACATTTGCCTCATCTCCATCAAACAGCCAGGCGATGCTTTCGAGTGTTCGTCCTCGAGTCTCGGGGTAAGTGAACCATACCGTCACCAGCATTGCGACCAAAATCGCAACGAAGACAAAATAGTACTTCCACTGAATGGCGTCCAGGGCGATGGGGTTAATGAAGGTGTTGAAGAAGATGGCTCCGAGTGAGACCATTTGGCAGACTGCGAGTCCGCGAGCTCTCATCTGGTACGTCCAGATCTCAACGGGGTATGAGATCACAAGGGGTGTGAGGGCAATATCGTATCCAAGGAAGTAGCTGTGGACACATTAGCAAAGAATAACAATAGAGGTAGAACGCGTCAAGACTTACATGAACAAAAATGGAACAACTGCAA